TAATAAGGAATAGAGGGTGAGTAAAGCAAATCAAAAGGCAAAGAAAATGAATAAAGATTTAAAGCCTCAAATCTCTAGACATTATTCTAGGGCCCCCCCCTAAATAATGTCAGAAAGCTGCTTGCTGGACTACCCGCTTTGCTTGAATCATTTTTTCAATACTTTTGAATAAGGGATTTTATAAAGAAAGTGCGCGCTGACTTTTGGAAACTTTTGGAAAGCTTCAAAACTAAAGAGCTTCGGAAAAGTTAATAAGGAATAGAGGGTGAGTAAAGCAAATCAAAAGGGAAAAAGTAAACTATAACAATACAACATATTCCACTACAACTACCCCTCCCCCCAAAAAAAATACATTATTCTGGGGGCCTTTATAAATCTGTGCAGGAAAACAAGTGTCATTATTCTAGGGTCGTTTATAAATCAGAGGACCACATTAACCCTTGTACTGTTCCTTTCACCTGACATGGGCTATGGGCAGAGTGCCGGACCATCAGGGATGTTCAAGCTTATGAAAAAACAATTGATGGGCTTTCGGGTGCTCTGGTGAAATCCGGAAGCAGACTGATTATAGGAGACTAGCCAAAGTGCAGAGGGCTTAGGGAGAGAACAACTGTTATCATGCTGACGCAGATGATTTTTTTCCTGGAAGCCAGCCGGCTGCCTAATGTAGAGCTGTCCTTGGCAGGTTTCGATGGTATGGCGAGTGGCCTGGCTTAAATGGCACAGAGAGGAGGGCCGGTTCTAGCAGTCCTACACGAAGGTTTGGTCGGTCACCTAGTTTGAAATCCAAGGAACAACCAGGAAGATGACAAAGAGATATACATAGAGAGGAAGATTCATCACGAAGGATGGGGAGGCGCGAAATCTGCAAAGGAAAGATGTGTACTTCCACAGTCCGCGTCTTGGCTGTGGCATGCGGCATGTTGCATGAGACATGAGGCATTGGCCAGATTGCAGAAGTGTGCGACGTAGTTGTGCTCCAATTGATATTCATATCGGTAAGTATATAGTACTTAAAAACCCAGAACCACATCATGACATCTTTGAGAATCCCATACTGAAACACAATGTGTGGAACACTCCAAATTAAAGGCTGCAGCTTACAGCAGGCAAGCCATGAAAAACATTGCTTGTGTGCAAGTATTAGCGCCCATTTGAGGGGCACAGGGCAGAACTGAGCAGTTTTGAGGATGTGTTCGATTTCATGAAGGGCAAGTTCGACATCGAGGCCTATTTTGCAAAGCCCCTTGTCAGGTACCCTTCCTTCTCACGTGTTTTATAACGTTGAGCCAAAATGTTCGGCCACTGGCTAGAGTCTAGAGGCGCGACAGATGTAGAGAGAAGGAGCCTTCTAGGCGATTATCCCAAAGTCTCCAAGTGGCTTGTTTGGAGTGTTCTGCTGCCGTACCAGATTTCCACTTGAATCCACTTGACACAGGCAAACAAAGGCACAAGTGCGGCAAAAGAACCTCATCGGGGATCCGGATAGGTTGTTCTTTTGTGCTTTAGTGTTCCTTGTGCTGTGAGCACTTTTGAAGACAACAATCCCAAGCCTCACGGGTTGGGTGCCAGAGCTCTCGTAAGATCTACCCTGTATCAGCAGCATAAGTGTTTGAGTCCAAGTCCGACATGCTCCTTGCACGTGTGACGATGAGAAAAGAGGCACGCAGACTTTGGAACCTGGAGTGCCTAGCCGTCAGCAATTTTGTGTCCCCTTTGAGCATACCATAGCTTACCCACATGCTCCCTTCAGCCCAGGTTGGCTGCCAATGGCACCAAGGAGAAGACCATCAAAGGAATGAAACCTATTGCGATTGAGGTGCCATGATGTTACATAATTGTCAATCATCATAATGTTCGCTGGATTTTCCGGCTTGTGATGAGTAGAGCCAGCTGCATACTTGATGCACACAGCACTTGGCATGTTCACGATTGAACCATCGATCAGCCTGTCAATTCAAAAAGGCTCAAGATCGAGACAGTTGGTGTCCTGCGAAGCCGGCCAGAGTCATGACACTGCAGGATGCCGTGTTTCACTCGGCATTGCAAGAGATTCAGCGACAACAGAAAGTCTGCTGTGAAAGTATGGACAAGTTCAGGAATCAGCACAAAGAATGGCAAGACTCCCTAGGAGTCTTGTTGGCACAGATGACCAGCTTCGAGGCAGATGCTGCTGTACAATCAGAGGATGCTAGCATTCAGCTCCGTGCAGTCTCACCAACGCCTTCTTCCAATGCTACTGGCTTGGAACATCGTTCCCACAGCCTTCCCCTCAACAAATTGACTGATCACCAGCATGATAATGGACACTTGCCGAGCCTTGTGGAAGAAGTTATGATGGATCAAGAGTGCAAGGGTGACCCTCAGAGCTGGTGGGCACAGAGGCGTAGACTCTTGACCCAATTCGTGGACTCAACATTGTTCGAGTACATCACGGGTACGATCATTTTTGCAAATATTGTTATCATCGGCATAGAAGCAGACATGACCTTGAAGTCCGGGGAGCCTAGTTGGTCCCAGCAAGTCGAGCAAACATTTCTGGTGGTTTACACGCTTGAGCTGATACTACGCGTTCTGGGAGGGAACGCCGAAATCTTTCAAAGCTGCTGGTTTCTGATGGACTGGCCGACCTTTTTTTTTTGGGGGGGGGGTGTTGAAAACTTCGAGCACACTGTAGCACGCAAGACTCTTAATCTGAAATAGTTTGCGCTAGCACCTGCCCCACTAGAAGCGGAGAGCGTTCCCTTGTGAGGACTTCTTCCTAGTTTGCGTCAGCGTGATCGCAATTGTCGTGGCGCCCATCATGACGGGAGGTGGCTCCGGCATGGATGGCTTTGAGAAGCTCTTAGTGGTCCGTGGCCTTCGTCTTCTGAGATTGGCTCGGGTGCTGCGAATGGTGGGTCGTTTCAAGGTAGTTTGGCGCTTGGTATCGGGCCTATTGACCGCATGGGATACAATGCTTTCTGCCACCGTCTTGATCATACTGTGGCTCTTTATTTTTGCATGCGACTCGATATGGCAGTCAAGACAATTTCCACCTATTGGACCTACAGGGGATTCAACTGGGTTCAAAGGTCAAAAGGAACCCATGGAACAAACAACTTTAGACTGTCTTATTTTCCTTTATGTCCCTTCTTCAAGGAATTTGAAGGTCGATCTTCATGCTCTTGGGACAATCCAGGCATAGCCGTGGAGATCATCAGCAGTGACCCAGACCTGCTGCAAGACAGCGACACAGGTCCCATTGTGGTTAATCACTTTGGTACTCTCATGCAAGCCATCTTGACCTTGGGACAATTCGTCACCTTGGATTCCATTGCTGCAGTGTACTACCCATTGATCATGGTGAGACCATGGTTGCTGATGTACTTTCTGCCCGTGATGGTGCTGATCTCTGTAGGCCTCATGAACCTGGCTCCATGGCCTTTAGATGCTGTTAGTCCAATCAAGAAGTCAAAGGCTCCATTGGATGACAGGATCCCGTTGCACTAGCACAAGGCCTTCAGAAACTTACATTTCACTGCATACTTGAGTGCATTTGTGTCTGCATTGACTCCCAAATTCTCGCAACATCCCTAAACTTGAGACTTTAGACTTGATGGCAATACCCGCACATTGTTCGGCAGCCACCTATGCATGGTTATATAATGTTATACATATATATTATGCTGGTTGTGATCTCCAGCGAGAGGGGACTCCAGTGTGGGGAAGTCATAAAGAATGCCCCGCAAAAAACGCTGACGGTCTTGTGGTGAGATATGTAATGAGTTCAGAAGGTGGCGGGGTTTGACTGTGATGGCTGTGATGTACGTGTAACAGTGTAACATCTGAAGAGTTGCCGGAATCCAAAGATCATCTCATTTGATACTGCACCAATATCAACAATGAGAGTTTCATTTGAGGTTACGGCTGTTTTGGTGGAACACGCTCTCTCTCATGCCTCCCGGGAAGAAGAGTTGGCGCGACAACGCACCAAAGACAAGATTAAGCTGCCTGGTTGTGTTTCAAAGTTTCAATCTGGTTTCTTGAGGCTTCCTTTCTTAACCTAATATGTTTTGGAACAGCACGGAAAGATGGGTACGCTTATTTATTCCACCTCTACCATGCCAGGACAGCCCTACCAGAGCTGCTGAATATCTTCCAGTCATTGGATGCTGATGGCAGTGGCCAGGTGACGCGAAGCGAGGCAGCCAATGTGCCGCTAAGCGTGCTACCTCCAAAGGTCTTGCAGACAGTCTCAGTCGAAAGCACCTCGGCGGGCCTGCATCGGGTGATGTTGAACTGGTCGAAGCTTCCTGGTTTTGAGCCTGGCTGGATTGATGGGGAGTGCATATAAAAGTGCACATTTAAAGGGGTGGCTATGTGTATCATATGGCCTTGCACTTGCATGTTTGAAATTGTTTAATAGCTAACTTACATGTCACACATGTCAATAACCATGCATAGTGATTTCATTTCGGATGTGTTGAATATATCAAAGCGAATTGCTTTACTTTTTTGTGCTATATACTCTTTTAAATAAGTAATGAGGTCACTTCCTCACTAATTCTCCGGGTGCGCCTGCAATTCCTCACAAATTCAGGTTCCGAAAGGTTGGGAGTTGGGAGGAGTTTTGAACTTCAATGAATCCTTGGAGCCCCGAAAGTCGCTGGAAGTTCCTTTAGGCCCACAACCCTGAAGAAAGGGTTGAAGATCAGAGGAGGTACAATTTGCAAAAACTTGAATTCCCTCGACCTTGGACGCTCTTGAGTCCGTAGTGTCGGTATGTGTCAGTGTCCTTAGTGGAACAACAGCTGTCATGCTGTAGAATTCTTTGGGACACTTGCCTTAAATGATTGTAACTGACACTGTAAGAATACCCCGCAGAATGTGAGTATTCAGCAGCATCCAAAGTTCATTGAGATACGTGCCTTTGCACCCAAACATGACATTCAAGGGACGGAAAGGACTGCTATAAGCTATTAGTGTGTGAGGAACTTATTATCACAGGCTTGAGGTGTGATGTATTTCAATTTCGGACCTTTTCACCAAAAATTGCTTGTCACAAGACGAAGGAGTATCCAACGGTGAACTATAAAGTTGGAGAATGCGGGACTGCTCTTTTTTTGCAGTATCTTTGTCGTGGCTGGAATGTGTGATGTGATTTGGCTTTAGTTGGCCCGCCATGGCCCGCCTAATTCCTGATAACCAGTCTTATCGCGCTTCTTGTCTAAAGTATCGAATTAAGCCCTTAATTCTTGTCCAACAAACTATTTTCCATCAGACCATACAGTACCTATATAAATATAGCATTGCCCCTAATGAGCAGAGGGCAAATCATTATTCACACACAAGCATCGAAGAGCAAATGGTAAAGCTATGCGCTACACTCCCCAAATCAAACGTACCCCTGGCAGCAGTGAGGACCCAAACTAACATATCCCAAGCCTCTCCGGTGTTTCCTGGGGAATTGCATGTAACTTTTGCTTTTCGGTAGCTTCAAGAAAAGGTCCAAAAACATTGCTAACCTGGCCTGGGGCAACCATGCATATTGCAATTTTGGTCAAAAACGTGACCATTTTAGGTGGCTATGTTAGTCCGTGCAACTAGGAATTTTGCCATTCTGGAAGAATCAATGCCCCTTTTGGAGGGCTATGTGAGTCTTTGCACGTGCCGAAACAGAGTAACATGGCCACCCCCAAATGAATACAGTGAATGAGACCCATGATAGCCATGCTCCTGGTGCATGTGAACAGTTGTTCTTCAAAACCCAACCATCTGAAGTCTACAGTAGAGCTTCCAACATCTTGCTTCTTTGAGGGATATTGGTGATGAAACTGTATGTAGTTATTTCGAGAGAGAGAGATTTTGGATAGGTTTCAAATCTGATTTTGGATAGGTTTGAATTCGCATAGGGATGCATAGGGATGTATCTTGGCAAACATGTGAACACATGGACATGTTAGCAGCCCCATGGGCACCCAGCCGCTTGGAGTCTGGAGCTTCCAAAGTCTGACTTGTTTAAGTGGCACTCAGGAATACAATATAATATAGTAAAGAGAGAGATAGATATTGGATATGTTGGGTATGTATCTTGGAAATGATGTGCCTGCATGGACATGTTAGTCCTGGTCTGTCCGGATCAAAGTCAACCCCCAAAACACGTCCAGACTCCTAACACGTCCCTCTGTCCTTTGCCAGCCACCCGTGTGTGTGTGTGTGTGCATGTGTTTTTTCTTTTTCTGAGCATTCTTGTTTCTCTTAACCCCAGGTGAAACATGGGCGCTTGCTCTGTACGTTGCTTTGTGCAAAACATACATTGAACTCTGGAACAAGAAAAACAATTGAAAACTCAGGTATCTGTACTAGGAGGGCTATGTTAGCACGAGAGCAATAGCAAGCACCTGCCACAGAATCCTGCGGAATCTTGCTAACATATCCTCCTCACAGACACCACTTGTGCCCTTTCAGCATCTTTCGACTAACGTAGCCCCAAAAAAAAATAACACTTTAGGGGGTTACGTTTGATTTGGGGAGAGTAGTGTGTTCTCCTCTACCGTTGGGCAGATAAACAGTCGATAACGTGTGCATTCTAGGCTAGTTGAATTATGTTGACTACCCTGTAAGTGAGGCCAGAAGGCTGGCCGTTCACTTGCTTTCCCTGCAATTCCCTGTAAGTTTGATTATTATTACCACTACTCCTGATTCTACTTTATAGACTCCAGCTTTGTGTCAAAACATTTCTCCCATTCAGATTCCAATACTGTCACATCATTTAGGTAGCAGCTTAGCATATTTTTAATGTTCATCCTTGTGCTCACTAGAGCACTCAGTATCTATCACTATCTCGCATTTCTGCGGTGAGGTTTGGGCTCCGTGTCAAGTGAGACCAACACAAACCAAAGTCTTGTTCATTCACAGCCTTGTTCATTCACCTGCGTTGGCTGCTGGGCAGTTCTAATCAGGTGATACAGTATACTGTAAAGGGTACAATGTAGATAATATCAGATAAGGGGGCTATCCAAGAACATGTTGCCCTTTGCCTTTGGGGGCGTGGTATATTGAAGTCTGTAAAATCCCTGCTCGAGGTATGGAGGATCTTTTTGATCTGCTTGATGTAGATCAAGGTGGTACACTTAGCCAGGCTGAATTCTTGGAGGGCCTTTTAAACCTCCTGTTGCTAGACGTGCCAATTTGGGCAATTCAAGCGCTGAAGTTGCTGAGACCAATGCGCCAGCGACTCATTGACATGGCTCGAGACATCAATGACATCAAGCATGGTCTTGACGTGATCGAGACGTGATGTTCGACAGTTTCACCACTGAATGTGCAAACAATTTTGGCTTTTGGCTTCCGCAGAGTGGAAGAGGTAGGGTGGTACGCCTCCAAGTGAGGACAGACTTTGATGACAAAAGGAGACAGAACTGAGGGAACCTGTTTTGATTGTCGCACCTGGACGCTCGAGAGTTATATATATATATATACATACATAATGACTTTGCTTTTGCATTTTGAGAAGAAGCCTGAACCCAGGTCAACAAAATGATTCAAGAAAAGCTGCTCGGACCGCACCAGGCCAGCCATGCCATGCCTGCCCAACCTCAGCTTTTGGTGGATCCATGTGGATCCTTTCTTTTCAGCCACATGTTGTTTTTGCATTGCATGCTGCCCTTCGGGCTTCTTGTTGTGGGCTGGTGCATCTCATCCGAGGAAGCTGCAGCCAATTATTCGAACATCATACTACAGATGTGCGTTCCAGCTGCCTGTCTGAAATGAGCATAGTTCACTCTACATGTTGCGTGCACTTTCATCATTTTTTGGCGGCAGAGGACCGTTCAATGCCACACGTGACGTTCCATGATCCTTCAAAACCTGGACGTTTTGTTTGGGCCAGAAAAGAGAACTCAAACGGCAAAGATTCGCCCAGCGGTCCAGGCTGGCAACTGACAACAAAGTGCGCATTTCACTGGACACCCAGATGTCGCTGCTGAATGATCCTTTGAGATGGATGAGATGGGCTGCGGTGGTTCGGGATTCGGCATCATCCAGCATCCAGATTTCAGCTAGAACTGATTATTGAGACTGCTTTTTGTTATTTTGTACTTGATGCACGCACATCCCACCACAAGCAAGAAGCCTTGACTCGGCCAAGAACTGTTGTGAAATGACACTCGTTATGAGCCCTCAAGTCAATGCCCGCCTGTTTATTTCAGCAGTTTACTTTGAGCCAAATACTTTCGCCAAGCGGGGCCGTTGCAAGTATTGGCAGTGCCGAGGAATACCAGGCGAATGGTCATCCAAACAAACCATGGTGTTTCTGTGCTGCATTAATGCATGCTGCACGCTTGTCATACTTCATGTTTTTGTTACTACTTTGGCACAGTTGGCGTGTGTACTTCAGCACAATATTTGCCCCTATATACATGGAACTTGTCACTTGTCCGCTGAGATGTTGACAAAGTCTAAAAGAATATCTTTCTGTCAAGTTTCAGGCCTTGTTGGGACTGACACCTTGCAGAGAGACGACATCTATCGGTTTCCGCATCTGCGTTGCAGTATGCAAGCTGTCATGCTCACTGACAATGAGATGGTGTTTGCCCTCAGATACTTAATGCCGTCTACACCCACTGTTATCCACGTACTTGCTACTTGCTTATCAAGCGTAAGACCTCATATGGTTTTGAACTTTGGCCAATATATTCAGAGTGCCCATGCCACCTTTGACCCCTTCATTGCAGAGGTATGCCATCCTGGAAATCAAACTCCAGGATGTGTCAGAAGCACCGCTCTGGCTCCGGCAAACACTCAATGATATTGGGGCTTGCTGGACATGTGTTTATGATGACTGATGATTCTTTTGTTGAGGTTATGTATCGGGCAGCGCTTGTTGTGCCAGGCTATCCAAGTCCACAAGTTTTCGAAGTTCCAGCCATTTGGTTGATATTTGAAGCTGCGTCGGTTGTTGTGGGAGTCCAAATACGCTGGTTGACAAACAGCGGCAGCTGTGCCCCACAAGAGTGGGCGTAGAGCACACTCAGAGTTATGATGCAGGGCGACGTGTGCTTTTGTCAGGTGGTTGTTGCGAGGTTCTTTTTCATATTCACGGTGCTACCAAAAAAGAGAAGCAGAAAGATTCTCGCAGCATTGTGATTGCAACGTCGAGAACAATAGCTGAGCTCAAGTGGCAACAACTAAAACTTGAACCGCCCCATTGATCCACTCACATCCCCTACCGTCATCGGGTACAATGAGCTTTCTGGACCATGGTCCCCAGGCATGCGATGGCCTTCCTCCATCCGCAGCGAGTGCCCATTCTGCCTCATTGGCATCAAGACTTCGATGAATGGCACAAAGCCAAGGACCGAGCAACTACTTCGGATTTCAAGCCCAGTGTGACATTCCCAAGTTACCGTAAAGGGCTCAACTTGAAGGACTTTGAAGCTAAGGGTGACGACGGTTGGAGCACGGGCTTCTGAATGCAGTGGACACATAAATTGTCACATTGTCATCGTCAATTCCAAGTGATTCTCGTGCAAGCGAGAGCTCCCATTTGAGGAGGAAAGGAAGCTGCGTGTAGGTGACATGGTGGCAGCAAGGGATCGACCTCGCGGTCTCGGCTTTGTGTGCCCTTTCGTTTTAGTGTACGCCAACTCTGGGAATGGACTCAATTTCGGAAGAGTGTGTGAGTGAAGTGAAGATATACAGTCTACTGTATATGTATAATATATATTCGTATATTTGTGTATATTTATCTATATATATATATATATCAATCCCAGCTTTAGTCACTCGGCTCCGCACCTAGGCAAAGGCAACCTGTCCGCAATGCTTCGAAGTGAGCCTGCAGTTGACGACCTTGCTGCGCCCTGTCATTTTTGACTTTGATGTGGCAGTTTCGCGACTTTCACTCTCAACCTCACTGTCGCAAAGAGAACTCTTGCACACTGGTGGAGCCACCAAGCCCCGTCAGTACCTGTGAAATCTGGAAAGACGTTGAAATCTTGACAGGCATTGCATGTCTACAAATCTCCTTGCTCAAGGTGCCCAATGTGTCGAAGATCGTGGCACCTCATGGTGAAGGACACTTCCTGAAGGACCCTCGCAGCTGAGCGGAGCCTTCTGCGACATGAGTTTGGGATTTCAGCCTTTGTCCGCCAGACTGTTCTTGCGCAAGGACATGGAAAATCTAGATCCCAAAGCTGTCTTTGCCAACGAGCGGACTTTGCTGCACTATGCTGAGAAAGGCATGCAGCTGGCCAGCAAAAGTATGCAATTAAAAGTCAAAAGTGATTGCTTCAAGCCACTCAAGCCCTCGCACAAATTACAGTGGAGTTTATGGTCAACTGTCAACGGTTTTTAGATTCCACGCCACAGTCACTCCCTGGTCATCGCATCACCCGCTTGTGCAAGGTATGTGGCTGCTGTAGCTGTGGTAGTTCTGCACCAAGGAGGCCGTTACAAGGCCGAATGCAATTTTTTGCATTGATGGGCTCAATAGTCTTGGCTGCAGGATCAGCCACAAAACGCGCAAAAGAAATGTTTCACAACGATGCAGGTCCTTGGTGGGCTGCTAGTGGCCAGCTACTGAGGAGGGAGAATGATCAAGAAGATAGACCGATGAGGTTCATTTGTTCAGTTGCCTCTATTGAATGAGTTTCTTAGTCTAGTAGCTTCTTGTTACTAGTAGCGATGTCAGAAGGTACTAGTAACTAGTAGCTTCTTGCTCCTAGTAGTGGCGGCCTTACTAGCAGCTTCTTGTTACTAGTAGCGATGCCAGGAGGTACTAGTAGCGTAGTTGCTCCTAGTAGCGATGCTCTTTGTTACTAGTGGCTTCTTGTTACTAGTAGCGATGCTAGGAACTACTAGTAGCGTCCTTGCTCCTAGTAGCGATGCCATTTGTTACTAGTAGCTTCTTGTTACCAGTAGCGATGGCCTTTGACTGTTACTTGTAGCTTCTTGTACTCGTAGCGTTGCCAGGAGCTGCTAGTAGCTCATTGCTCCTAGTAGCGATGTCTTTTGTTACTAGTAGCGATTCAAAGAGCTACTAGTAGCGTCCTTGCTCCTCGTAGCGATGCCCTCGTTACTAGTAGCTTCTTGTTACTAGTAGCTAGCGGTGCCCTTGTTACTAGTAGCTTAGTAGCTCTTTAAAAAGGAGCATCAAGACAAGAACTGCATAGAATAAGGCGATGACAGCAGTATACTATGTTTGGATATTGGTGGCTTGGCACGTAGAGGCGTAGAGTCGTATTGAGCCCAGGTACTTCAACATACTTCAACTCTAAATGTGGCTCACTATAGTTAGTAGGGGTAGGTAGGGGCATTTGCGATCGGCGATTAGGTCGAGAGCTTTTTGATGGGCCTAAAGTAAACTGACCATGTGCCAAAAGGCATCACTATCACTCTCCTACAAGCTGCGAAGGCTTGTTCATGCACAGTACGTAGCGCCATGTGATGTGACTGACTGACTTCAACTCATTCCAATCTTTGCATGTCAACCAGCCAAGGCAAAGCCCACCCCCGCCCCCTAATATTATATTCCATCTACTGTATATGATTCCCCAGGTGGCCTACTTTCAGCGGCTTGATGAGATCAAAGGACGCTCAAAGGTGGTGAAGAACCGCCACATGGCAGCAGCTTCTGAGTAGACTTCTCCAAGTTTCCATGCAAAGCTTCGCATCGTGGAGAGCTTGCAGAAGGGGAGAGAGAGAGGGCACTGCCGGGCCGGAGAATCTTGGAAGTTGTTGAGCATGTTGTGCGTTGGCAGGTTAAGGAGTTGGTTCTGGCCGCATATATAGTGTTGTTCCGCAACTACTGGGGTGGACATTTGCAGAAGTGGGGTGCCAAGCACAAGGCCACAAGCCAATGTTTGCAAACGGGGTTTTTCACATCGCTGACAGACACAGAACCCCCGCATACTGGGAACCGGCGACAGGTGCCTGGGGGTGGATCGAGACCACGAGTCTCAAAGTATCCTGTAGTTGGAGTATTCGAGGCGAAGCAAGACTTGATTGGAGCATCGGGCCGTTGCTGGCAGCCACCATGGTCTCCGTGGTCCTGGGATTCTCCTTGTACAAGGTGGGCCTTTTGTGGTGCACCGTGGTGTGTAGATTGTGGTAGCTGATGTAGATGGATGAGGTTTCAGGTTCAGGCAGTTATTTGCTCAACAGTGAGCAGTGTCGTATGAACCAGCTGAATACTTCAGGGCCTGGGTTTTGATAAGCTTTGAAGGACAAAGTCGGATTCCGCAACCATATTAGTTGGTTGGATTCCGCAACGGGTTCCATGACTGAGATTCTGCAACTAATTATGATTCGGCAACTGTCTTGCTTCTGCAACTAGGGTTCCGCAACTGGGATTCCACAACTGTCTCAGCAAAAAATAGACATACAGTAATCCCCGTTGCTGCCGACAATTCTAATTGGGTGTGGTTAAGCACGATTTTGTCATTTCTTTTAGTTAAGAAACATGACGTTGGATAATTTGAGGGTTGACAGGAAAAAGGTTTTCACACTCAATTGACATTCTTGGATTCTTGGCTGTGCGTGCATGTTTGTGCTTTGCTAAGCTTTATTAACGCATCGTATATTACTTTTGAAACACCCTTGAAGACGATGAAACAACGGTTTCATTGCGGCTCAAAGGGCAACAAAAAAAATCAGCAATAATGTAAAGATAATATTCTCAGACGTAATAGATAACAAACATAATAACACAGATATCAAGGACACTTCAAGGCAGGAAGTGTTTCCTCCAATATGGATGTCCGGTGTTTCTTACAAATACCTGTTGTTTGCATCTGGAACCCCTACGTACAGGGTCAGGAGGAAAATCTCTATGCTCCCAGACTGGCATCAACAATTGTTTTGACAAAAACAGAACTCAACATGACTGCAACTCTTGATTTTGTTTCTTGAGATTTTGCCCCAGCTTGTGGCCTCAGGGCCCACAAAGAACAATCAAAGAGGGCGAGAAGATCTCAGCCGCAAGGCACCCTTGTTTCAGAACAGTCGAACAGTATTTGCTAGGTGACTGCCTGCTGATGGTTTTTCATTAGCATAGCTGTCACCAAACAAAAAAACTAAGAAAAAACTATATATAGAGAATTTCTGACAGATACCTTTTTGGGGGACTGGTTGCCAAGCGCAGAAACCAACAAACTTAAACACGCAATGGATCGTTGCCAGGCTCTGATTGAGTGTGGCTTATTGGCCACAGGATGCCACAGGTAAGGATTGGACCAAATCTTCCCCTGTCTTGTCAAAAAATACTTGTAAATAAAATGACATGCCAAGCGAACTTTCCCAGACCCCCATTTTGTATTGATCAGTGGCTCCACAGAAACATATATGATGCTTGACAAGCAGCTGGCAATATTGACACATGTTTCTTGCATTGGTTTGGTGGTCTTGTACTGTTTTTTTGTTTGCTGTTGGGTTAGTGCTTCACCCGTGGCCTGGATTTTTTTGATGAACACGCACAGTTTTGCTCTTAGAATGAGTTGCGTTCTTTCTGATATGTTTACCTTGTGGCTGATATTTTCTCGCCCTCTTTGATTGTTCTTTGTGGGGCCCTGAGGCCAAAAGCTGGGGCAAAATCTCAAAAACATTGAGCTCAAGAGTTGCAGTCATGTTGAGTTCTGCTTTTCTTTTGTCAAGACAACTGTTGATGCCAGTCTGGGACTTCATAGAGTTTTTACTCCTGACCTTGTACGCAGGGGTTCCGGATGCAGACACAAGGTATTTGTAAGAAAACGGGACATCCATATTGGAGGAAAAACTTCCTGCCTTGACGTGTCCTTGATATCATTGTTTTTTTTTGTGTGTGTTTCTCTGTTTAATTTGCAGACCTTTACAGTCTTGATCCTTTTTTGTTGCCTTTAACCTTTTGAACCTCAATGAAACTGTGTCTTTGAAAACGTTTTCGATTTGAACCGGCTTCCATGGGTGAGCGTCAAGGTGAGGCTCAATGTCAATGCGAAAAAGCGGTGCAACCTGCCTCAATAAATCCTACTCACTAAGAAGCTGCTGTCTTTGTCAGTTACACAAAGCATGTCAACAAATTACATGTAGTGATGGGGACACAACTGTGCAAAAAAGTGTTTGTGCAGAGTTTCACTGCTTACAAGTCGGCAACGAGCTGCACTAAGAGGCATTGAAATTGAGGCTCTTTAATTAGTCCTGATGTCATCAAATCTAAGAACTTAAACGTAAGCAAAGAAACTCCGAGAACATCCACTTTATGGAGGCCATTCAGCCGATTGACTGTGGGCTATGCTAAACCTCTATGAAATGTAAAATCAAAGACCGTGGCTTCAAAAATGATTCCAGTGCAACGGCATTCAGTTTTGTGTTCAAAGTTAGTTTTGTCATGTTTGGTCCACTTACATTCTCCAAAAATGATCAAATCATGTGAACTAAGTTTGCAACCTCAAAAAGATCAACAATCGGCTGATAAAGTCCAAGGTCGACTCTCGGTGCGCTTTGCTCCACTTCGCACTCGGCTTTTCACCAACATGCCGCGCTTAGGATAGCGAGCCTGCCACATCATGTCAATGCTGCTTCAAAGGCTTGAAAATGTTACCAACAATGCAATTGACAAATAACTGATGGAGGCAATAAACTTCAGTTATTCAGAACATGTTCCATTTTTGAAACTTGTAAGAATCTTGCCTTCAGCGGGGTTCACCGACGCGATGATAATGCCAACATGTCCTGCCCCCCTTCCAAAACATGACGCGCCTCCATCTTCAAAGATCTGAAATCTAACATGGCAGACCCTTTGAAAGAACCACAATGGCTACAAAGCGGCGTGGCATCATGTGTTTGTTTCCATGTTTTTATTGGCATTGTTCTTGATGTTATTCATGCTTCATGCTTGATGATTTTTAATGTTCTGTGAGCCTGAATGAAAAAGAACGATTATATATGATTATATAATTGTTCGATTGTCTCCTATTTTTCAGGACTGTTTCATGACTACATGTCGCGGAATGTTCTTGAAGTCAGGTTTTCCAAACCCATTTTAGATAACTCATCAAACGTTCACTTTTTAAAACACATTCATAAAACATTCAATATTCTAAAGCTCTATGATTTGAAACACATCTTGCCTATTACACCCTATTCTATATTCACCAATGCTTGAACAAAGTGAACATACTTGACCTTTCTTCTCGGTAGCAACCGGGATGAAGTATCGAACAGATGCTGGCAGGTACAGGTGGAGATTGGGGTGGTGTAGGGTGTGAGGGGGTTGAGGGGTTGGGGGCTGACTGTCATGTCCACAGCTCGGATTCCACAACGATCTTGATTCCGGACTTTCCAGTTTCAGAATCGGTAATAGTAATCGGTAAGTCTCAGAATCCAGCTCCAACCAATATTGAAAGCTTTGACAGAATCACGGCAATGACCATGAACATTGTTCAACCAGCTCCATCCCTGTCAGGGTTGGCACGGCCTTTTGCAGCGTCATGAGCTGGCGTGAGTCAAGATTTTTTCTATTCCCAGACATGAGTCCCTCAGCGACCAGATACTGGGACCCCGGCGCACTGAAAGTTATGTATTCAATGATGCCGATCATGTGCAGTGCAGCACCGCCTGCATTGCTTGCTTCGTAGGATTCATTTACAACCGAGAGAGGCTGCCAAAGTTGTGGCGCGACTGTGCTGTAAAGTGCTCTTACTGTAATGTCATAAAAGCCGCCCATTGTGCTGCCAAGCCACACTCCAAGGCTGCTCCCGATCGCATTCGGAACGCCATGAGCAATGATTCGGAAAAATGCCTGCGCATGTGGTTGGGAAGTATTTCCATGTCGCAAAAAAGGCAGTTTGATATATATGGTTCCCTTGTTGCCTTTCCAGCGATGGCCTTGATGCTCCTAGGCAGCAGAGTTGTGGGGCATGGCCGAATCATTGGCTGAGCCTGTGACGAGCTCAACTCAGCTGGGCCACGAGGCACAGCAGACACCAACTCAACACACCAGCCAGGATGATGAGTTTTGACCAGGTCACTTTTGGCCGTGCATATGTATATACCGTATATACCACATGACTCCGTACTGGAACCATCAGCGTGTTTGTAGCCCCAAGGTCACTAGCGCCATACGCTATATAACTTGCCCAGGAAGAAACACTCAATGCAACAATACACTACTGGCTGATGGTGCAGCAGTGCGGACCAGCAAATTCTTGCGCGGTTCCCTGTAAAAAGTGTTGTTATTGTTTGGCATTCCTGGTGGGTTGGAGGCAGGAGGACACATGGCAACGATTGAAAAGATGTAAAGGCAACAATAGCTGCAACAATTACAAGCAAGCTGCGCTTCGGCTTTGGAAGAAGGTTTTGACAGCAAACGTTGCAGCAGCCCTACACGTTTAGCTTACTGTAGCTGCTTGTAGTCCGCTCAGTTCACTCATTTCGGAATGCTGAGGTTTTGAAGAATCTGACAAATAAGCCCTTTCCGGATGTGCCAGACACCCGGTCATTCTCAGCTCACTTGACATAGGTTGCCAGTTGCTTATGATGTGGCGTAGTGAGTGCGAAGTGGGAAGCAGCAAGCCAGGAAGCCAACATATTATAGAAGGGCGGAATTGGAGCTAAGCCAAGTAGGTTTGTGACCCCTTTCTTGGCCTTTCTTCCACTGTGAAGATGCGGGATGGCATCAGAGTAGGGCAGCGCAAGCGTGTTGAGAAAGACGCAGCGCTGGAGTGGCTGCCACAAGCAGAATGCAGTGTGATTGGTGAGGAGGAGCACGACCGCGAATAAACACTGAGCAAACCGAAGCAGCAAGTCGGGCTGTAAACTATAAGCCTTTCCCGTGTAATTAAGAGGAAACTGAAAACGACCCAGTTCCTGGCATGTATTCACGAAAGGTAGCTTCGGCTACCTGAGTTGTCTTTGCTTTAGCAATTATGTATTGGGTGTGGTGAACTCTTCCCGTGCTTGATTTCGATGGTTTTAGAAAGGGTTTAAACTGTAAGGCCCCCCCCATTCGACTCCACCCCGCGCCGCGGAGAATGTGGTAGTGATTTGGCGTATCCACTGTGGTCCATTGCAATCTGTGGTTTATCACGAAAGCTAGCATGCTAGCTGAGTTCTTCTTTGCTTTAGCAATGTTGTGGTGGGAGGGGCTGCGTGCCTTAAAGATTGATATATCAAGCTAACCCCCCTCCCCGCCCCCCCCCC